AGGTAAAATCGTCTACCTCACAAGCATTTACTTTCGTCCACGGATTTATATTTACATATGTGTCGCTCATTGGTCACACATTCTTCACACAAGAAGCCTTGCTAATTTTATTAGGTCACGCATGACAGTAATCCAACCAGGCTGCAAGGAGCCGAATATGCCCCCAAAAAGTTCCGGTTCCCATCCTGGAAGTGCACAGTTGTGAAGTTCATAGACCAGTAGCAACCTTGCAATTATTCGCAGTGAGAATCGAGCTTACACGACCTTCTCAGCTGCTGTACACTTCCCAACATTAACCTGATGCGTTCCACTGCTTATAAATTGCCATTAGACTGAGGACACATAAAACCTCTTGGGACTTTAGGCCGCCCGTTTGATCTGCGCCACGTCCGTCTGCATCCCACCGAACTCCCCCAATCATCTGTGTGGATGGTAGCCGTTTACTTTAGTGATTTTTCAGAAACATTCTATTGAAGAAACGAATTCTGTTTGACAATCGAAACATGTGGATGATGGGCTGGAAGTCAGCACGCTTCTGACAGTTGATCCAAAAAATCTGATGAGGCTGCATTGGCGACCCGACAGCTTATTGGACGGTTTGAAGTGCGATACAAATTTTCTCTCGACTGGAAACTCTTGTAAAATGTCCATTCACCGTCCAACCTGTAGATTGAATAGGCATTCTAAAAGAGATGGTAGCCAGAGAGGAATTGTCGTTTGCGCAACAGACGCCACATACTAGACATACATACTACACACATGTGGTGACAACACGCACCTCAGTGGGACTGACTCAGTAATCAACCTGATGTTTGTGCAACAAGACTTGTCCGCTGATCAGTTAGTCGAACGGCTGATGTGGCAAATGACAGCGAGAATGATTCTACTGCGTGAAAGCCTGAGTAGGTGTGGTAGTGGCATACAGTCACGTCCACAATAAATTCAGTAAAACTATAGTAAATATGGCAGATTGCCCTATCAAGCACAGGCCTTTCAGGTGGGCTTGCACTCTGCCACAAATTGAAAGGACTGTCAGACCGATGTGAACAGTAGAAACACAGAAATACTTTTTGAACAAAAAACTGTGTGTATCTGCATCGACAAGAAACATCGAAAACAACCGGTCACGTTTACCAGAACACATATATCCTACATGTTCTTGTGACCTATTCAACACTCCCGTTGACCTTTCGTCCTGAATGCTTTTCATTTAGCAATCAAACTCACACCCCAGAAAGTACCGTCTTGCTGTATGTATCAGCTTCTCAACAAATGAGAATGGAGCAAATCAAATTAATCAAGCTGAACACAGTTCACTGCACAAATGCAAAGCAGCAGTCACGTGAATAGCACTTTCACTGAGTATTTTCCTTATGTCACTCAAGTCTCTGCATACGTTAAACAATTCTGGAAAAAAGATGCAAAAAACAATCAATCGAGTCCACTGCTACAAAATCTAATTAGTTGCACTGATTGACCCGCAAGTACAGGACTGGCTTAGTTTTTGTTTCCCCTAAGAATGTTTGTTACGGGTTAAGTAATGTGTATCTAGAAAAGAGCTGCACAGAACACGCGAAACTGGCTGCAAAATCTCGTGTTGTGGGCTAAATACGATCGACTTTCTTGAGAAAAGGGGACTTGGATACTGAACGAGGACTTATTAGGGCTCTCTTGAGCAGGATTTGTACATTAGTAACAAATGATCAGCAAGAACAATGTTGAAGGTGCTGTAGAACTCTTGTGATTCGTTTTGCCGAAACCCCATCTACCGATTCTTAACTGCCTATCTGTTGGTGTTTGCGTTCCGATCCAAAATGCGCAAACATCTGGTGTGATATAATGATAAAGTAGGCTATCTTTCTCAAGGTGACACTAAGTTATCGTTTTCCAGTCGTTTTCAGGACAGAGACTCGGAACCAATGAGGATAATGTTAATTCATTTTTGAGAAGTGAAGGCTAGTAGTTCGTCAAAAGTTCAGTTGTTGACATGTTTCACCCTTAACTGATTCCATTGTTCTGTTGTTGATAGGCCACCGCATCAACCAAATTTTCACGATAAACCAGTGCGTAGCTGGTACCCGATTGCCTGGTTGATAGTGCTCGTTGACGACACTAAGCAACATAGTGTGTTCAAGGTGAACAATATTTGTAAGCTTTTAGGAGGCCATATGCACGTTCAACATTTTGAAATGCAATGCTGGAAGTGTTCTGAATGCTGTGAGCTAAAACAAATCAGGTACGTGGACTTCGGAATTCCTGTAAGAATTTGGGAAAGCGTCCCACTTTATGAAAGACATTCATTTTAGAGACGAACATATTACACTTTCAACCCTTAGCAACAGTCATCTAAGCATCATTAAGACCTGAAGAATGACTAGAAAAATGTAGTAGGATGATTCTTAGGCAAACATAACATGTCTGTAGAGAACGTGGCAGTAGGTTGCAATCCAGTGGTAGCAAGAGGTATCAACATATTAACAGCGCAGGTACTGGCATTCATAAGCGAAATTCAAGTATGAAGTGGAGCGTAGTCCGAAGCCAAGCAGTATATGCTCGCACCTCAGCGAAGCATTGTAAATAGCGTATTGTTAGGGTAGACCTCAGATACTGACGGATTTAGCTCATTTTCTATTTTGGTCACGGTCTGGGTCGATAACCACCCAGATAAGAAAAAGGTACATATCAGAACCTCGCATAACGAGTGAACGGAACGTTTCGTGGAGTTCGGCCAATGAAATGCACCCGATAACACAGAAAACCAAAATTTGGTTCATTTTGTCCCCGGCGAGCATCGGTCACCGCTAGAGCTCAAGTAAACAAACCTGTTTCCCAACGTGGGTGGTAGAGGAAACAGCTCACCCAATGTATACTGTATAAATCACATTTATGTTACTGGCACTTGGTTTTCACAATGTGAGTCATGTATCTTCCCAATGGCTCGCTTTTCATCCTGATCTGATAGGCATGAAATTTTGAATAGATGTTGCTGGAGTAATGGTATCTACACAAGTGTGCGGTGCAGAAACACGCAAAAGCATGATTTATCTAACTTCAGATCAAAGGAATATTATTATAATGGGTAGGGTGAAAACCAAAGTTGCATGTTCGTGTGATTGTCATTCATCAACTATCGTGCAAGGTTGACAAAAATACCGTGTGTTTCGGTGGTATATGACGGTTTCCTCACTGTATCTCCTTTCTGGCGATCGGTTAAACGTTTAAAATGGCAGTTTGAAGTTTTTCTCCGTGAGAAGCAAAGCGAGCAACAAAAAAATGTGAGAGACAGTGGAGACAGCGTGTAGTGTTACATACTGCTTATGTGATCGATTCAAGCCATGTTCTATAATGCCTCTGACGGCAAACGTGTGTACACAAAACCTGTTCATGCGGAGAATGTATGGAGATTGCTTTTTAACGCGAAACAAATTTTTTAATGGATGTACATCAAGTAATCCTGGAGTCAAAGCAGCAAAGGAGAGCAGTTCCCGATGAGATGACTAGTACTGACGAGATCTCGCATTTGTCAGTTTTGTTGTCAACCTTTTCACTGTTGGAAAGTTGGTTTTTCATTACATTTTTTATCGTTTCAAACGTTTGAATGCCGGGTCTTTGTATGCGTTTTAAATTCAAGTAAGGCCGATCACCCAAAGATTACACATACTTATAAGGTATCTGAGGAAAAATACAAAAAATGCGACAGTCTTGAAAAAAATCCTTTGGTGAAAACGAATTAAGAGGTTTGTTTGTCTGACTTGTGAATAAAGTGCGGACAGCCTCTAATAAATCCTGGCTCCAGTCAATCCCGGCTTTTGTTGAAATAGGGTGTTATAAAATATACAAAACGACACCTACCCAAAACACAAAAACCCATACGCAGTGCAATCCGACTGGATTTTGAAACTGAAACTCACCAGGCACGTGTAGTAGGATTAAGTCACATGATTCCCTGTTCCAAAGTTCACATTTTAAACCCAGCATCTACCAGTCGCCAGCCATAAGTGTATATCCACTAATAAGCGACTTATTTGCGGATTAAATAAACGCTTGCACGGCTTAATCAAAAACTTACTGCCTTCCAACTGAGTCCTTTCCACGGGTGACTCAAAGACTCCATTGAGTGGCAATACTTGGCACTTTTACTCAAAAAAAATCCCAAGCTGTTGTACTTTATCCACATACGTTCTTATTCAACTAGACATTGCCTTAAAAATCGTGTGCAGCTGTTGTGGCAAGTGGTTTAAGTTCAATGGTAAACCGAAGTCTCCTGAGGGTGTGCCATTTCGCAACTTTGTTTGTTTATGCAATACATTACATCAAAATGCGTTGACATGTAAGTGTTATGAGGATATTTCCGTAGGTCCAATTTATCACATCACTATCGATTTTTTGGGTGTTAAAATGCAGATTAGGAAATGCCGTCCAGGTTGCCATCAGCAGTGATGTGAAAGCAACCATTTATGCCAACGCCAGCCAAATGGCCGGTGGCTAGTTGAACGAAGCTGGTCTGCAGTACACCATTAGAAAGTCGTCTGGCTGATGAATGAAACGAATTGTGATAGGTTGGTGGCCCCCTTCTCGGAAACACTTCATACTGTCAGATAACTACGTGTAGGTATATTTTCATGAATCAGTAATTTATTTCAGGTAGCGATAGCATTTGAGTGGTGATGGTTCATCGGATGCCACTGTGCGACAATCTGGAGGTTCTTCTCTGAATGACAATCTGGCTTCGCTACTCACAACACCCAGTAGTCTGAGAAACAGAAAGAATTATGCAGACGATAGCCCGTTGGTGCGTATACTTTCGACCTAGGGAAAAAAATCTGCTACCACAATAACCAGACTATAAAAGGACACCATTTCATACCAGATCTCCAAAGTTCACTCCCCCCAAACAAACCTCATCGAGGTCTTTTCAAGTGTTATCAACATTCACCAAAATGTATGGTCATCTATTGGCGTTTTAAAAAAACTCTTGTTCAACTTTGTTTTGATTTCAGGCATTGTGAGGCGACCGAAGGAGGAAAGAACATTTCCCATGCCATCGGTATTTACGCGGAAATCGAAGACGAAACCGGTCGTACAACTCCAAACCTGCCAAACAACAGGCCATAGTGCACCTTTGAATAGCCCGTTAGAAGGCGACCAGCTGAAATGTCCGTTGAAACCCAGCCTTACCTACAGTTCGACTCTGAATCGAATAGCTGTCAGAGCCAGTAGCGCCTCGCCACGACCGCACTCCTACGGACGTCGCCTGACCGGAGTAACTGTGACCTTTGAGTCCACCCTGCCCACTCAAGTATGGCAGGCATCTCCTAGTCCGTCGCCACCATCTATCAGCCCCACTGCTTTCCTACGAGATAACCGAATGATAGTTTCCGTCTCAGATGATTGGAGCATCCGCGAATCTTGTTTGGAAAATCACAAGCTTCCAAAGCCATCCAAGTGTCGATCAGCTTCTTTTCCCAACTGGCTTTCTCACGAAGCGGATACGGATGATAGCAGCGACGGGACCAGTCCTTCTGGACTGACTCATCAGTCAACCAGTAGCACCTGTTCTAGCAGTGATGAGTCTATCACAGGTGGTACACGACAAATCAGGCATAAGAACAGCAGTAGTACGGCTACTGCCACAACCGACAGCAGTTCCAGTTTAGACATGCGGTTGGTTCGTGCAGCAGGTGATTCCAGTGCGACATCAACCACCAAAATTCGGCGCCGACTCCATGGGAGCCGAACCTTTGGGACGGAAAAGCGAGGACATAAAAAGAACGAGGAGAAGAAGCGGCGGCCGGTACCACTGAGTGCTGGCGATGGCACCGACAGCAGCAGTAGCAGCAGTAGCGAAGATGACGATCTGGAGGCATTAGGCTGGGATGAGAAGACCATATCGGCCGCAATGATTAGCCGAAGTGCCAAGGCCAGGAAGCATGTACTGTCTGGTTTACCCGTTTTGAATTCAAATTCAAACGGAAAATCACACAATAAAAAGTTGTCAGTTGTTCAGAAACAACAGAAAACCGATGGAAACCTCGAATCAGTGCCAAGTGTGAGTCTTACTGTGCAATCTGTCAACCAACTTTCCCATCCACAGTCCTGTCTTTTGGTTCGCCGACACAATAAACCGGGAGTTACGGGTCCCATAAACTATACCAGCCCCACGGTTCTGCGATCTGGTATGGCGGAACGGAGTTTGGGTACAGTCTACGTAGATCCCAAACGGGCGTTCAATACAGAACTCTTGGCGGTTATCACAAATGATTACAAGCCGCTTTCAGAGTGGGAGCAAGAATACAAGGTACTTCCTGTACGAAAAGGAGAACATGTGTGTGTTCTTAGTCAACCTATGCAAAGCAGGCCAACAAATGGGACGAGCGATACTCACCACAAACCAGACCACTCCCGGGATAATAATGAGTCAAATACATGGTTGTACGTAAGGCGATGGTGCGTGGACCATTTGGTTGCAACCGGACCACCCGGATTCGTTCCCCGACACCACTGCCGACTACTCCCAAGCAAAGAGATTCTAGGCTTGTGGCAACAAAGTCAACTATTTCGAAGTAACAACGGCTCTTGTTTTACCACTCCAACGGATATGAAAGCAAAGGTTATGCCAGTTGCACCAACAACCTCAGAACTATCAGACTTGGCCCATCTTCGTTTGGATGAACAATCGAAACTGATGGTCCGTTACCCATTTGTCCGTCCCAATGTGGAACTGGACACTTTTCATCCTGCACCTCCAAAACTCATGGTGGCTCATCCTCAGGTTCCTCCGCCCCCGGCTGGGTTTGGCTCTGGGTGTTCTTTCGGCGGATCCGAGACGGAAGATCGCGACTCTGGTAGAGGGCCTAGTTCCGGTTCAGAATGGAGTAGTGGTAAAGGTGGGAGTTTGAATGTAACCTTGGACAGATCCACAGCGGTGGATAAAACACGTACTGAAGCTGGACTTCAGAGAAGGTCAGATGTCCAATCTGGTAATAGCTCCGATCGGTGTCGGAATACCAACAGTGCAGAGGAATCTCAGCTTGGATGGTACACCACTGACGGGTCAGTCTTCTCTAGCGGGCATAGCTCAAATCGCGAAGAAGACGTCTATTCGCATGAAACAGTTGCACAGACTAGTTCCACAAGTGGGGAGCTCCCACATGATCAGGTTTCGTCACTGAGTCAGCAAACTTTGCCCAAGCAGTCCACCCAAGCACCTTCATCGTCAGCCATCACCCTGACCACTTGCACAGGCCATGCACCGGTGCTGGAACTTCGAACAGGTGGAACACCAACGCTACATGCTAAAGTCACTAACAACACAGGTACAGACAGTTTGGTTACCAGCACAACTACTTGTACAACACTGGTTGATAGCAAAGCAGAATTGTCCGATACAGATGTGGTGACAAGCCGTGATTCGATGTCTAGCGTGAATCCTGCTTTATGGGAACCATACAAAACAGTTATTCATGTGAACGAGAACAGCATGGAGAAGTTCACTCTCGTGTAAATACACCCATTTACTGCCAGATTTGATATTTGTAAGATCATGTGCTGTAGAACAGAGTCAAGAGTACTGCTCATCGCAATACATCCGCCAAGAATACGCAAACAAATAAAACAATACACGCATATCTCTATAACTCACCATACTATTATGTACATAATATTCTGAGAAATACCTCGAATACACACTCAAATGTGTAAAGTGATCTTCCTTCCCAAGAGTTCTTCTCTCGGTGAGGTTCTTTTGGATTGGAGCACATTGCAATATTCCGTGAGTAAAATATAAAACTGTACTTGTCTCCTGGTCCTTTAGTGCTCGTACAAATGCATCGCAAGTGACACTATTTGGGGAATTCTTTGGTTCAAATAGACTACCGTCATCCTCAGAATGCTACACTTCCATGTGAACATTATTGCTGAATGCGTTACTGATGAGTACCTATTGAGAATGTCCCGCACAAACGACCAGTTATTAGATGTTGTGTAGATGAGAGTGCTTGAGTTGGACAACATTCCAAATGAACACAAAGAGCTCCTTCTAGAATAGAGAAATATGTCTCAGTATAAAAAAGACATTTTCTATTGCAAAATCTTTCTGTGGGACTGTGTGTAAGGATCGCATTCCAATCGTGTCATTCTGTGGCTAGCCTGAGTGACCAAACAAGACTTCAACCAGAACAATCAGAAGATACATTTGAACAAGAAGTACATAAGCCAGTCAACTAGTCATTGCAAGATCGTCAGATGTCAAGTGCAGGTAACCTACCTTGGAAGGCTAAGAGGAATGTACCCTTAATTCATACTTGTTGTGGACCTTCAGGAGGCTGTATATCACGAATCCACCTACAGGTCTGAAATAACAGTTTTCTACAAAGGAGTTTGGGTTCCAACACTCAACTGATCCTTTGCGGGGTTAGCTTGCATTTCGGAAGTATACTTCTGGACCTCTTCGTGTGATTACGTGCTAACTCGCTTCTATGGGGTTTGCTCATCAGAGGATCGTCCCTGGGTGGATTACCCATACTATGTTGGTGATGAGTATCCAATCAGATCCAGACCACGTGACCTGAACTGTGACTTAACAAGGAGCGACATGTATATCCGTAATGCACTACTCATAAGTTTGTTTGGCTGAGATCCACTGTATTTTAACTCCTGATCAAAAGGTTGAGCTTACGAATACCCCTAGAGATATGCGGTATTGATAATTTTCAACAGTGGTTTAGTTCGATTGACTGAATAAATACGGATTCGGGATATAGCTAGTTTTATATGTTCGAGAGATCAAAGCGTTTGAGCCAACTGGTTATCTGAAAATACAGCAAAATGTAAAAGAACAGGAATCTGTGGCACACTGCTAATTCATCTGTTTTATAGTTTTATCTCCACGATTTGACTGTTCTTGAAGTAGCGCTTGAAACAGGCACGTCTCAGAATTAATTGGCAACGCAAATGAGGTTCTACAGTAGGTAGGCTATAGCTCAGTTCGCCAATTCGAACCTTCCAAGCAAGTGAAAGTGAAGAACGCATTGACAAACGCCCACGATTGTGTGCAAGGACATTATCGCCACCCTTTTTTAATCTTTTCCACTCCAGTTCAACTTAGACTATTGATAGTTTCAAAATAGACAGCCAAGGTTTTTACTCGTTGCATTGATATTTTTATTCTTACTCAGAGCAAATCCTCAAAGATTGTGCAGCATGACGAAAGGTAATATTGACTCTTGAGTGCACCACGCCGATGAACGGATGCTTCAAAACCACAGGCGCAACGTTCTTTCTGTTGGTTAATACCAAATGATAGGGTATACCCTCGATAAGAGCAGTAACATGACTTTTTTTACTCCGAAATCGCTATTGAATAAAGGTACCGTATATGTCTACAGCAAACACATCTCAGCAAAGCCGTAGCCAGTCTATCAAGATGGAATATCAGTACGACCAAAACTCTACTGTAAGGGAATATGAACTGGATGTTATTGAAAGAAGTAGGTAACCAGGTAAAGACTTACCGGTTTGTGCTTTGAAATTTGAGTCTCAATGTGTGAGCCACAAAATCCAGGTTTTTAAGTAGGTTTTACACTTTATTTGGACCGGCCGCAGTGGTTTTGTACTTTTTCAGGGGTCCTGTGCAAACTAAGAAAAAATGTTGACGAATGCAGCCATCTTGAATAACATACGTTAAACTTCTGAAATTCTCCGATTGGACAAAAGCAGACAAAATCTGTAAATAGCATTCAACGCAATCACAAAGAGAAGTGTTTTGAGAACTTACAATTGAGTCGGTCGGTCATATTTTTCACGTGGTTTTCGAGTTATCCGCATCTTAACCGGTGCAATGCCTCTAAAACCGAAGTCCAACGAGAATGGAAGTGAGAAATGACAACAACTATGTGGGTTGTTGGAACCACTCCAAATAAATAAGAGCTCCCTCAAAGGATGAACTGAGACAGCCTCAGCTAAAGCCAGATACAGCTTAACGTAAAAGTAAGACAAAACCGTCAGAATCCGGACTTGTGTGGGAGTGCTTTGTACTGTACTTTTTACGCCTGAAACTCAGGTTTGACCGAACTGTATTCTTTCAAAACTCTGTAAAACCTAGGTAAATGGCTCGACACTTTGTTCCTATCTGTGAGAATTCTGGAGATGGTAGTGCTGCTCTGAACTATTCACCTGGCGGTCAACTCATATGAAAGAGCCCGAAGTGGTAGCCTATTTGCCTCACTGGACTCTTGGAAATTTGCAAACAATCAAACCAGGCCCAGCACCCTTTTCAAATTATTAAGTCTGAAACTGCGTGTGGATTCGGGATATGTGCTGCTTATAGCATGAAACCGAGCTAAACAAGGGGAAGACACAACAAAGGTAATTACTGAGTGCTTCAGCTGATGGTTTAACGTAGTAAGACTAATAATAATAATATNGATCGTTCAGTGTAACCCTCTTTCGGTTTCTAGCTACCGTGCCCATCCGAAGAAACACGATGTTGCCCAGGCCTATACATAAACACTAGGGATGCAGAAATGGAGTTCAAACGACGGACCTTCCGGTCAATAAGTCCGAACCTTATTCACTGAGCTATCTCGAGTTTACTCCCATGTAGGCAGGGTGTGCAGTGCCGTGCCTAAAGTTGTGACATCTCCCCTACATCCAACCATTAGTCGGTATACGTCAGAAATGTCATTACTTTATTTGCGGCACAGAACTTAATACAATAGGGGCTACATTCTTACCGGATTAAAGACCTTAATGACTGACAGCTACCCTTAACTCCAGAGTAGGTCGCTCGCTTAACACTATCTGGCAGCCCGCAACAAGCCCAGAACCTAAGCAACATTCGAATTGTTGAGACTGAGGGCGAAGGCTTAATTTGTGCTATCAAAAAACCTCACTTTAGACCCCATTTTGTAGAAGTAGTGATCTTCATCACTGATATCTGTTGTCGCTGTAGAAGCTGCGCTACTGTTTCTTTACAATTTCTCCTGAATTATTCCGTGCCGTTTATAACGCGTGACCCAAAAACTGGTAAATGATTTGAACTAGTTGGTGGGATACATATTACCTGAAGATAACCAAAAAAGAGAGGACAAGGTCACAAAATGAGTGCGTGCAGTTGGAAGCCATGTTCGGGAACTTTGGGACCCAACATGCCATGGAAATAAACGCAGACATAAACGAACACAAATAAACGTTGAAAAATCAAATTTAACAACGACCAATGAAAGTGCGGGCCACATTCAAAAACTCCATTCCTGAAACATGGCATCCAGGTAAATTTCCATGAAAAATTCGCATACAGACCAACCTAATATCGGTCAATTCTGAACCAAGTAGGTCTTGTTCTGGATCGCAAGGTACCGATGCACTGTTGCCGTTTGTGCGAAGCTCTCGTATTAGCTGTTGATGTATCTCCCGGTGCCGAAGTAAAGGTTTAGCCTCCCCTTGGCCAATAAGAGTCATCAATGGTTAGGTTACACGAAAGGCTTACACCCGGCATAAGCTTGTGAACAAAGGATGGCAAAAATCAACGATCTGGTTCGATAGTTTTCAACCATGCTGGCTGGAATACTTAGAGATTTTCCAAGATTGTTTCCTGATTCTTTTGAGGTGTCGTTCGGCATTCAATCAGACCGTTTGTAGGTACCATTGTGTGACTGACCTTTAGATATGGTCATCCTGTCGACCGCCACCTGCTGCGAACGACTGTATGTCGATATTCTGAATTTTTAAAATTAGATTTCACCCAGCAAGCACGATCGGTCGGTGCGCTGAAAACCGAGAGACACTCTATTGCTCAAAAAGCTGACGAAAATTGACTCGCACAATCGAAGAGAGCGCGATTTCACAAGCCGTCAGGTTACCGTGTGATGGCTGTTTAGATGGTACAAGAATGTAAGGGATACATAAGCAAACGCAAAACAGTCAATACCAAACCGACCAATCAGTAAGCACTCGTGCACGTGATTGGTTGATTTGCTGCGCCATGCCTCTGGCACAAGTTAGCACGAGTGAGCTTAACCTTAAGGCTAGCTATCCGTTTCCTATCCAACAAAAGCTATGAAAACCAGCAGTTTCGTCTTTTTAAAACTCCTCACATAGGACCAGAAAAGGGCTGACAAAGGGTTCTCGTTAACCCTGTGAATTATACAGTACCAAGGAAAACTTACTCCGACATCTCGATTATCAGGCTAACTGAAGTGTGAGACGGTCTTTGTACAGCACGCATAGCTGACGAATATCGTAAACGACCGATTCATTTGATTCGGCCATTCATACTAGTGTACTATGCAAATAGCTATATTTTCACACTTGCAAACAGGTAGTGGGAGGTTGGAAATTTTCAACAACCTTGTAAGTAATGTAGTGATGTTAAGTAAAGTTACTGCGAAAAGATCTTAGGGTAATACTCTTTCACATAAATGGATCATCCAATCAGAGTCAATTCGGTTTTACTCCTATCAATTTGTTAAGTCCAAAGGGAACACCCGAGAATAGCGGGAGTCA